GTGTGTGTGTGTGTGTGTGTGTGTGTGTGTGTGTGTGTGCGCGTGCGTGCGTGCGTATGGCTGTGTGTGATGAGTGGTGGGGCGACGTGTTTGTGTGTGCGATGCAGTGACACATCGCCTACGACTCATTATGGTTTCACTGTGATCAGACGGCTAGGGAGCTGTCAAACACACACACACACACACACACACACACACACACACACACACATAGATTCAGACACCTCCGTCGTTACTTGCAGCTCTTGACATCTTCCAGCTCACACCCCCTCTAGCGCTCCCCCGCAGGACACAAGCACGAACAGTACAAAAACGTTGTGCTGCACGGATGCGAGCACACACACATACACACCAGCACACGTGTGTGTGTGTGTGTGTGTGTGTGTGCGCGCACCCCCAGAAATGCATCAGCAATTACAATCATTTGTGGGAGATGAAAAAGTGGGATTAGTTTGTTTTCACTGTAAGTTTGTGTGTCCGTGTGTGTGTGGGTGTGAGGATGTTTGTGTATTTTGTTGTCCTCTTCGTTTTTTTTTTATTTTTATTTTATTTTTATTTTAATGCCAGTTACAGCTGGCTTGCTCTTCTCTTCATACTGGATGCAATCAAACAAAGATGATCAAAGCCACACAGCAGTAAACACTGGTGTGCACACTGTGAGTCTGGGAATAAAATCTAAACTCACTGTTTCTGTCACTGATTTAAATGCATTTTCTAAAATATTGTGTGAACATTCCTAAAATCATCATTCACTTTCACCTTTGCATTCCTCCCAATAGCACAAGTCCTGGATGTCAGACAAGTTTTTCAGCGGATCACAGACATCATGCCAGACTCCAATGTATTTTTCTACATAAACCTAAATGATGTTTCCAGGAGCCCAGGTTGAATTTGATTGTATTGAGGCGTGAAGATACTTAACTGAAGCTTTGGGTACAATGCAGAGGACTAGGGGTGTAAGAAAATATCGATACACTGAAATATCGCGATATTTCATTTCCCGATACTGTATCGATATTCTAAAGCCCTGTATCGATTTTTTATTAAGGTTTAAAATGTCAACTTTCCTGCCAACCGTTCATTTTTATGTTGTAGTTCAGCCTCTGACCACTAGTTAGCAGCAGTGAGCCTGGTTCACTGCTGCCAACTAGTGGTCAGAGGCTGAACTACAACATAAAAATGAACGGCTAGTTGGCAGCAGTGAGCCAGCCAAGAGGTAGAGGCTACTATTAAGTGTTGGGTGACCATATTGTAAATTAATATTAAAAACTAAAAGCTGCAAAAATATATATTTTTCAAACTATTTATTGGCAAATTTAGTCTAATAATTGAAAACATGGATGAAATATGAAACAAATAAAATAAAACACATACAAAGCAGAACACAGCTAAATGTATCAAAAGTATGTATAATATTAGAATTTTCTGAGACAATGAATTTTGATTTTTCATTTTTTTCCCCTGTAAGAGGTTTTATTTAACAGAGTTTTTGGACAAAAAAATCGCAATATATCGCCTTGCTTACAGTATCGTAATATATCGGGATATATCATATCGTGACCCCTTTGTCATGATATGTATCATATCGCCAAATTCTTGCCAATACACAGCCCTAGAGGACTGGCAGTGCCCAGAAACCACGTTAAATTCATAATTTAGTAAGTAAGTGTTTTGTTCCTACGTTGTTAGCTGGTGTTAGCTGCTAGCAAGCTGTTCTTTTACTGGGGTTTTCAAAAGAAAAACGTGCAAAGACGTTCTTAAAAAATTTACGAGGGCATTCTCTTTTTACTACAATCAATTTTTGCTCGCAAACAGAAAGGAAATGTAATTATTTTCCATTGTTTTGCCAGTTTTAGACAAACAATTGTAGACTCTTTGTACAGTGCGGGTAGTGAAACCCAGGGTGGTAGCTCTAGTGTTCTTGTTAAGTATATTGTTTTTGTTTTTTTTTTTACAGATATTTGAAATAAACTTGAACTACTAATAGTTCTACTATGATGCCTGGTAACAACACAGCTCGAATGCAACTCAGCCACAAAGTTAAATCCAAGTGATCGGCTTTTAAAATGGCAAAAACTGAATATCCTGCATTTGAGTCTGCATATCTGCTGTCACTATTAAAAGTCCCGTAGCAACAATGCTTCACTGATTTTTCTGCTGTTTGTTATCGGTGCAAATCACCACTCCAGAACTGAAATTGAAGTTCGGTTTGACTGACATCCAGGTCTTTGCTGATGTCACCTATTATGTAGGGAGTTATTTTTAGTAACTCTGACCAGCGCTGGTAGCCACACATCCAGATTACTCATCCTCAGATCATCTGATGTGCCTACCTTTTTTTTCTTATAGCTCTCTGCAGACAATTAAAAGTTTACACAACAAACAGCTGAAATAAAAAGCTGGACTTTATGTAAGAATATACAGTAAATATGCAAAGTAACTATTTGGAAGTAATGCAAATGTATTAAATGTATTCAATTTAGGGGTAAACCATTTGGGCCTAAGACAAGAGAAAAACTAAACAAAAAAAGTGTTACATTACGGTGCATTCATAGAGTACATGTAAACCCATTTGGATGTTTACCTGTAAAATCTGCCTCAAAATTACTGTATTTATTCATGTATAATACGATCTCATGTATAATACGACCCCCCCTTTTTGAGCTTAAAAAGCATAAAAAATTTAATCCTCAAACTACCTCCAATTTCATACAGACTTGAAGATTTTTCAGCCTTTGCAGTCTTTATACATATCAGTAAAATGATCATTGAACTGTTCATTTTATTTTAACAACATATGTACTTAAAGGTATTTAGACAACAAATATATATCAGCTGTAGCAGCATCATATGAATTCTGGCATTTTACACATAGTCCACCAGGAGGTGCCAACACAAAAGTCAGAGACTTCACATGAGATTTGGGCCATCTTGTGGGGGAAAAGCAGATTACTTCCTACTTGCGAGCGCCCCCTCTGGTGGGGAAACTTTTTTCAGGGATACAAACTCTTTCAGAACACCGGTAGACGGCAGCCATTACAGACGAACATGTGTTTGTTGTTGTTTGAGGAGCGGCTCGGTCACACGCTAATGTCATTAGTTTGTTATCATTACTAAGGTGCAGGAATACTCTTTCCCCCTTTTTTCATATCATGTCTCCTGCCTGGATCTATTATCTCGCTCTGAAGCAAAGAGGAGTGTCAGAGGTGAGCTCGATTCAATTGCTTTTTACGAGGCGGTCTCATTTCCGGACTCAACAATTTTGCCAATATTTCAGTTAAAATACATAAGTATAAATATTTATCAGAGTACAATACTACCCCCCAACTTTATGGATGATTTTATGGATTAAATTTTACGTTTTATACTTGAATAAATACGGTACCTAATTTACATAATTTCCCTCTGGGATGAATACAGTATTTTTGAATTGAATTGCATTGAAAAATCTGTACTGATGAGGAACTTATTTCTAGCAGCAGAGCAGGTTGGAAGATGGTTATTTGATGTTATTTATTGTTTTTTTTTAACATCCTACAAGCTCTGATGTGCTAAACAAATTTGAAACTGAGTTTTTGAAAAAAAAATCCGTAAAACCTTAAAAGAATCTGTGAGATTGCTCTTTACCTGCAAAATGATGCAAAATCTGTGTAAATGACGGACAATCCGTCCAACTTGATGTATGTGTTTTACCTCTCCGTTCTCCAGTGGATGAATCTTGGAGTAAAAGGACGTGCAGATGACTTCGTCATCTCTGGTGTAGGACGGAGGTCCTGTCCGTGGATTTATGTTGAACCTCGTCAGGCACTCTGTGTCCGTGATGGCGTAGTACTGCCAAGGTTCAAAAGTCACGCCATCGATTGAACGCTCCAAGATCCAATTACCTGCGGACAAAAACATTAATGATGAAATGCATCAAATATGTGCGCGGAGTGAATAAAGATCAATATGAATAATGACAAATGACCTAAACCTCCGTTTGGGTCAGACTGCTTAATATACACAGAAAAGTGACAGGATGTTCCCTTTTATTGATCTCAAAAACTTATAGCAAGCTGTATTTTCCCCAACTCTTGCTATAAGCAACAAAAATCGTGTGTTCTAACAGAAAAGTTAAATAAATGACAAATTTTTCTGTATTCATGTAAAAAAATTGAATCTAAATTTCTCAGCTTAAACCCATTTATTTAAATTTTCTTTACAGTTTGATTCATTGTAGCATAATTCCAGTACAGCACTCTTTATTGGCACATTAATGCTATTAAAGGCTAAAGCTGAAATTATAAAAAAGGATTAATTATTTGTGTGTGTATTCTCTGAGGGAGGATCATTTGGCTTTTAAGACATTAATTACTGGATTTGGCTTTTAGTAAGACGACGGCTGAAAACATGCGTGCAACGTGCATTTTCATCACACACTTTTGATTTTAAACTCAAGTGGGGATGTTTAGCACCTGAAACAGTTTGTAATTGCCTTATTAAATCAGATGAAGCAGAATTCATACCTGGACGAGGTGAGTTGGCTGCCTTTATTATCACATAAGCTACCTGGAAAACCTGGAAAATGCAGAACAGACATTGACAAAGATTCAGAACATGTTACATGTTACAAAAAAAGAGTGGAATTTCTTTCACTTTCAAGTAAACTTTTGAACACATTGTTTGGTTAAATAAAACACAGCCAAGTGCTGCTTGTGTTTTACAAGTTGTAAGAGTTCAACATTTTAATTATTTGCTTATAAATCTTATAGCCTTTTCCCCCTCATTTTCAGTTTAGTACGTGACTATATTAGGATGATCAGGTTTTGTATGTTTGTTTGCCAATCTGTGAATTATTCAGTAACAAAAACAAGCTCATTTCTAAAGATGAACCAATGTGTCGGCACAAATGTCAAATTGAAACAGAAAATTTTGGGACTTTGTTTCGGCTGTCAACGACACATTTTATGCTCAATCCTTCAACTGAATTTATTACAAATAAATATTAGTAAAAACAGAAAGTTTCAAACATGAGGACAAGAAGGTTCAAATGAAAATTTCCACATGCACACATTGTTTTTTCCCCACATAGTCCATAGAAATTGTTCCTTGCTGCATAAAAAAATGACAAATTTCAAATTGGTAACAGTATTCAAGCAAATAAAAAATTTAAAATTACACAATTTAGACATAATATTGTATATTTACTACAATTCTCCTACGATGTAATTTCATTTATTGTATCAAGCATTAACAATACCACACACTTAAACATATCTAGGTTAATTTAAAATGCCAGTCCCTAGATGGGCTTTTAGCAACAGGAAAACAGTTTAAAATACAGTTTAAAAAGAATCAAACATGTCAATATGATTTATTTAAAAAAAATTAAAAACAGATCATAATTTTTAGTTATTAAGGATTATAAAACTTGTTCTCCTTCAGAAACTGATTCAGTCTTTATTTAAACTGGTTTCAGTTTTAAATCTGCAGAAGGCAGTTCCACGTTGATCCCTCGAGCAGAAAAAGCTGTTTGACCCAACGAAGTTTTTCAAAACGCAGCTCCCACCATCTGCTCCAGAGGAACCAAAATATTACCGAGTACCTGAGGAGTTTGTCTGGATCAACCTTTAAAACAAGGGTTACATTGGAGAATTTGATAAAGTTTTCAAAACTCATTGTGTAGAGTGATCTGATGGGCTTTTGTCCAAGAGCTGAACTGCTCTGTTAATATCAGATAGTTGTTTTTTAATGAAATGACACCGTATATTTAGAACCTATAACAGACGGATGTGATAAGAAACTGTGCTATAAAAACAAACACATGTATTGTGTTCTTTGAGCCATGCCGTCCTACATATAGATATTTAGCAGCTTCAACACACCTGGTGTAAAGAGATGACTCATTTAACAGATTCTGTAAGGCTTGATGGGAAGCTGTTGAGATAATTTATTCTTTTGAATAAACCAGTGTCGAACACATGCAGGACAGTGATCGGAGCTGTTAAACACCCAGAGAAGATGTAAAGATTAAATGTAGGACATTTGTGGACTCCCCATCTCTCCTCATCCCACTCCTCACCCCCCTTTTTCGTTTTTGCTTCAAAACTCTCTCTCTTCTTGTGATGTGGGAAGCGGTGTCATGTTGCACTAATTCGAATGGAGATAAAGCCACCAAGTGTGTTTGTGTGTGAGAAAGTGTCTTTTAAGGTAACCTTATACAAGTCATTCAAAGCCCCTACAAAGAGTTACTGTTACCTGTGTGTGTGTGTGTGTGTGTGTGTGTGTGTGTGTGTGTGTGTGTGTGTGTGTGTGTGTGTGTGTGTGTGTTGTGAGCTTTCAGCAGTATCATGTAATATGGTGATGACTTTGGTCCAGTCAGACAAACAAACCAGAACTAACACTGTGTGTCCATGTTTTATAATCTTTGTGTAACTCATGTGGTATGTGTGTTGCAGGTCTCTCTTGCAAATAAGACTACATGTCTCACGGAGATTACCTATCTGAATAAAAGTAAATAAAAAAGTGTACGTGTGTACTTGTATACAGGGGACCATTTTCACAATATTTACCATCAAAGTGAGGTCATTTGTGTAAACTGAGAACCTTATCCTGGTCCTCACTTTTTTCCCAGTTCTGCAGTGCTCTATAGGTTAGGTTAAGAGGTATAGTGTGAATCTGGGCTGTGTAATGGTAAGAATTCGGTGATAAGATACATATCGACACAGTGGTCGCTATACGATATATCGCAATATATTGCGATACTATAAGCAAGGCGATATATTCAAGATTCAAAGATTCAAAGTGTTTATTGTCACATACACAGATGAAAAACTTGTTTCCCTGAGCAATGAAATTCTTACTTTGCCGACCACTCTGAATGCCGAGAGACAACCACACTAAAAAGAATAAGCATTGAAGGACACTAACAAGGTAATAAGGGATAAAAGATAAAAAAGACCACACTTCGAACAAAAAAAGAAACCAAACTATAGATAATAACATCAGAAGGGAACAACTCAATAAAAGCATCAAGAAAGGGAACAGTACAATCAGTGTTTAAAGTGTAATGTGCAACAGGTAACAGTCTGAAATGTGCACATGTGCTGTAATAATAGAAGATTGTCACATTCAGCTGTTTAAAAGTCTGGTGGCACTTGGGAAAAATGAGTTCTTGTATCTGGAGGTTCTGCATGTCACACTTCTGTAGCTCCGGCCAGAGGGCAGAGGTGTAAATCGTCCATGCTGGGGGTGGGTTGGGTCTTTGATGATTGAGGCTGCTCTCCTGTGAACCCTGCAGTGGTAGATGCTCTGCAGAGAGGACAGTGAAGCCCCTGTGATCTTCTCTGCAGTTTTTACCACTCTCTGCAGGTGTTTGGTCCATAGTGGTGGTGCTGTAGTACCAAGCTGTGATGCAGCTGGTCAACATGCTCTCTACAGTGCAGCTGTAAAAGTTCCTGAGGATCTTTGTCCACATGCCAAACTTCCTTAGTCTCCTCAGGAAGTAAAGTCCCTGTTGAGCCTTCTTGACCAGCTGTGTTGTGTTCTCAGTCCAGGTCAGGTTCTCAGTGAGATGGACGCCCAGATATTTAAAGTTGCACCGTCTCAACCTCAATGTCTCAGATGTGCAGTGGTTGGTGCGTCCTCCTTTCCTTCCTCATGTCCACTATCAGCTCCTTTGTTTTGTCTGTGTTGAGGGTGATGTTGTCCTCACACCAAGACACCAGGCCGACTACCTCCCTCTAGTAAGCTGCGTCATCCTCCCCAATGATGCGTCCTTTCACTGCAGTGATGTGTCCTATATGTCCTATCACTGCAGTGATGTGTCCTATATGTCCTATCACTGCAGTGATGTGTCCTATCACTGTGTCCTATCACTGCAATGATGTGTCCTATCACTGTGTCCTATCACTGAAGTGATGTGTCCTATATGTCCTACAGTGATGTGTCCTATATGTCCTATCACTGCAGTGATGTGTCCTATATGTCCTATCACTGCAGTGATGTGTCCTATATGTCCTATCACTGCAGTGATGTGTCCTATATGTCCTATCACTGCAGTGATGCGTCCTATCACTGCAGTGATGTGTCCTATATGTCCTATCACTGCAGTGATGTGTCCTATATGTCCTATCACTGCAGTGATGTGTCCTATA